AGCAGCATAGACTTTGATCTTCAAACAGTGAACAACACTCGAAGGGTGTGCACTCCATCTCGTTAAACATGCAGGTTCCACAAATCCTCTGAATGAATATAAACTCTTTATAGGGGCCATCACACTTTAACACGACAGGGACAATAAAAAAAGAAGCTCAGGAGAACACAAGCTGCGCCAATGCATCTACAAATCAGCGAGGGCGAGACAGGTATGTGGTTATCAAAAATAATGATGGCCTTCCTCATCCAGATTGTAAGGTTGTTCATTGATCCAGTAGTTTAAAGTGATAAAAATGCAATCTTCGTCTATCTTCGTCTCGCTTCGTATCACCCCATTTACCAGATGACCCCACCCCCTCCCTGTGGAGCAGGATCTACAGTTTCCAGCATCATATTCTGTTTCATAAAATGCAAAAATATGGCGAAGATATATTTTGTTATCAACTTTAAAATCATCGTAACTACCGTTTTACTGGGTCTATTTGCATGAAACAAAGTCTAGCATAGAGTTTCAAGCCAGTATTTTCGACAGAAGCAGCCGATGTTGGCCCAACTGTTGTTTGTATGCGGTGCCGGCTTGAACAGGTCACATGATCTGATCATGCCGGCGTGGCGGTCGACTCCTAAGGGTTCAGTAACAAAGCCTACATAATATACACCCAGTTCTTCTGTGTTCTTATCCGTGGTGCTCTCACCTGGTTTTCATGCCCTGTTTTACTTCCGTTATTTTGTCGGAGCTCGCCACCACCCGCACAAACACCTCTCCGGCCTCCGGGTGGTTCTGTCTCTTCAAGTATTTATTCACACGGTCCTCTATGTACATTCCCAACCGTGTGGACTGCAGCCCTATAGTGGTAAAAACCAGGAATAAGGAAAACAATATTAACAAAAGAATGGAGAAGCAGAGGTTACACAGTATGTCCTTAAAAAGCCTGCAGTAGCCTTCAATCTAAGAAAACAAGAGAAGCACTAGAACAGATTTATGGGGCATCATGAAATCTTGAAACTGTTAGCACCATATGACATAAAGGTCAGAATTGTTTTCCAGGTTTAAAAACACCAAACTAAAATACCAGTGAGGCCAACATCATAAAAAAGGCCCCCATTGCAGGAAAGCCACAGAGACATATGCTGCCCATGTGCAGGTGGTTTAAATTGTCTCGTGTCTTCAGTGCTTGTGAGACAAAGGCACAATAATCTGTTGACATTTTGAAGACTGCAGGGAACACTGAAAGACTGATTCAAAGACCTTAAATACATAAAACTTAGATGAAGAGAAATGAACTAACGTTTTGCAGAAAACTTGTTGTCCTTCCGTGTTTTTGCACTCTTCTTTAAACAATTGTCACAGATGAATCTGGAAAGAAGTGAGAGAAATGAGACGTATTGTTACAATTAAGACTCAAGATATGCAACAAAACAATTTATGCAAAGTTAAGTGAAGTAGGAATTGAAATCTCACCCAGATGGCCAAATGGTGTCGTAGTGTAAGACGCATATCTGGTGCATCTTCCGTCCACAATCTTTACATTCAACAAACCTAAAGAAAAGCAAACATACAGTCAGACATTTCAGAGCAGCTACACATGAACAAGATTCTCAAAGCTACCTGACTGAGAGTGTTGGCCAAAAGGTTAAAGTATAGCATTGCACTCTCAAGCTACAGTTAGTCTACGTAGCGCTTCTATATGAGCTCTGATGGACATCATTTGTATACATGTTGATGTCCTAGCTGGCAGCAAGCAACAAATGCCAAAGTGCCTTACTGGGAGAACATAGTTGTAATGACAATGTTGAAGGAACTCATTACATATCAAAAAACTAAGAGCCTGGATTCTCTGAAAGAAATACTCATCAGAGACAGAGTGTTTTGACACTGCCTAGTTGTCCTGACGCCTCACTGATACCAAAGGAATTTATCAGAAACATCCAGAGAGAAAATGTAAAGACTCTGCATTCATTGCAAAAGTGTAGTAATATGTTTTATTAGACTGAGCAAAGAAGGAACGTCACAAAAGTGTAGTAATATGTTTTATTAGACTGAGCAAAGAAGGAACGTCACAAAAGTGTCAGTATTAGTCCTTCTCAGAGAGGGTGTGGTTTGTGTCAACTTACGGTTCAGAGTCGAGAACATCGTTCTTCTTTCGTTCAAACTGGTCTTTTGATATTCTCCTGAAGTGTCGGGAATACAAGGGAATAAATAGAGTTAGTAAGGAGAACTGTACAAACACAGAACCATATTTTAGTTTAGCTATCTTCAGTCCTAGGCTCTGGTTGTTTCTTATCACTGACCAAAGCCTGTGTGAGGGTCACGGTCTTTCATCAAATATACGTAATAAGCCTCTAAAAAAAAAACAGGCTGATTCACCAGACCACTGAAATCTTTTTATTAATTTTTTTATTGTGGGTTTATTATTTTCCAGTCTACTCACGTCTGTGGCTGTGCGGGATCGTCCCCTAGCGTCACACTCTCCCCCTGGATCTCAGTGAAGCACTTCTCACAGAAATGATACCTGCAAAAACACACACACAACATTCAGCATATTCAACAATCAACGGTGCGCGTTCGGCTACTTGTGTGTCCAGTTCAATTGTGCACACAACAACACTTGTCTTTTGTGTTTTATAACAGAGCGCTGGGAACCCCTAAGCTCCCATTGAGAGTGTAAATGGGCCGCGCTGCAGGAGCCTCATGCTCTCCGTCAGGCTGCTTCTGTGCAAAGTGCCCAGTTAAAGTGTGAAAGGGGGGCTGCAGTTACCCAGTTTGTACAGCAGGGGGTGCAAGGGAGCGTTGTGCAAGCATTCATCTGCGAGTGCAAGGAAAAGGCACTGATGGGCAACGTTTTATGTATTTGTTCATCTTTTGTGCAAGAGAGGGAGCAGCAACACCGAACTCTCAGCCCCTCGGTAGATGCTGAGCAAAACACCATCAACACACTGCTGTGTGCTACTCTGCGACTGAGACTGTCGGGTCTTCAGAGTGTTTCCCTGTATGTTCAACACTGGAACCTGGCTTTTAACAAATGTTGAGAGCAAAACCATTTTGTGGACTCATGCCGTGCCAGGACTCAGAGGCAGAGTCATTACAGCCGAGCCTGCTGGATCCCAGCGGCCCCTCTGGAGCGGAGGAGCAGACCCCAGGCTGCAGGGTAACACACTTCAAACGGTTGCATTCATTGCCCTTTTAAACACTTAATAAAAAACCGTGTATGCAAATACATAACCTGTGGGAGATGATTCAGTGAGATTACATTTCCTAATTTCTAGTTTAGTATATAGCCACCCATAGCTACAAAGCTTGTACTTGGACACATACAAACATTTATGAAGACACACAAAGAGTGGTACCTGTTCTGGTAACTGTAGTATGTTCCTCCAGTAGGGATGGTGCAGAGCTGCTTGCCATAGCAACAGAGGGTTTGAGGGGAGAACTCGTACTGCAGACAAAAAGGAGGACAATAGTGGTTAAAAAAGGTTCATTCATTCGGTAAATTCTTTGAATCAGGAGAAGAAAAGGTATTCAGTCAGAAATTTGATTAAAAAATGTAAGTTTGCCTCATCTTTAGTGATGGGCGATGTGGACAAAGCTCTAAAATATGAACGACTGAGGGTGAAAACAAAATGAACACTCATCCTCCCGAGTCTAATAGTTTTAGCGTATTTCATCAAACAAAGAGTAGAAAAGGAAGTCAACTTTTGATCCTTGCAGCCATGTCACAAAACTTTTCATTACATGTCACTTGTTACTTAGACGCTTTTATCCAAAGCCACTTACATACATTCAATACTGTACTCATTATTTTGATATCCTAGAGTTCATTAAGGAGGAAAGTGTGTAACTAAAGGTTTAACACAAAGACTGACTAACAACTTGGGGTTAAGTGTCTTGCCCAAGGACACAGCAGAATGTTGACTGTAGCAGGATTCGAACCAGATCCGAAGATCAGCGCACCAACACACTGAGCCACAACTTCCGTTTTCTCAACATATAAAAAACCTTCCTGAATTTTAATTTTGAACACGCCATTATCTCACCTTCCTCCCGCAGCAGTAGCCCAGGAGCTGCATGACGGGGTCGATCTCGGACTCGAACACCTCGGCCAGTTTGGAGCAGTACTTGTAGACGCGGGACGTCTTGCGGTTGTAGATCCAGGCGTTGTTGAACATGATCCAGACGTCATCAACGTATTGCCACGGCTCCTGGTATTGGCCCGTGTCGAGCTTTCGCTTTATCGTGGACAGATCTATAGGGTTCTTCACTATGTCAAAGTAGTCCTGGAGAGAGAGGGACAAATACAAAGTTTAAGTGTTAACACCCAAGATCAGTTTTTGTTCGAAGTGAAAATATGACATGGCAAGTGCATGTGTGCCACGTACAGGGATTCCCAGGAGCATGGGGTCCACTGGCTGTCTGAAGGGCAGCGACTCGGGGTCCTGCCTGTAGAGAGACTCCAGAGTCGGCATCAGAGCCTGGCGCAACTCCTCAGGCTTAAAGACTGGAAAAGGAAAAGAGGAAAAGGCACTGTGTAAGTAAACTAATAAAGTTACAGAAAAAGCACAGTCCACTGTACAGGAGAAGTAAGAGGGATTAACCCCTATACCTTTCCTCAGCTTCACAAAGGCAACAGACTCCCTGAACACTACATAGGACAGCGATTGTAATGTAAACACCAGCGACATTAAATCCTGGTCTAGTTGCATATTGTTGTCTGTATGACATCAGTTGTTTTTCCAAACAAAATGACAAATCAATGGTTATGTAGCTTATGTTACATGAATACATTTTTTATTCTAAACAATGTCAATTGAACAGTAGTAAATGCTCGCTTCCTATCTGTGCCAAAGATTGATTATTTCATCACTTCACACACATTAGAGCTTAAACGGTCAGTCAATCAACCAAAACTATTTTTCAAACTATTTTGATGCATTGATCAATTGCTGATTAATTGATATTTTTTATGTAGAAATAGAGAAGTAATTCAAATATACTCTGATTTCAGTCTCTCAAATAAAAGGATTGCCTGCTTATCCCTCGTCATACATCATATGTGACCGGGAAAAATGTTTTGGTCGAACTAAATATTTGAAGATGTCATGTTTGGATGTTATAATTATTTTTCACAAATAAATGAAATGAAAATAGTTTGAAGTTGCAGCTCTTTGCCCGCACATCAAATGGAACGTAAACATTAGATTAGGTGGCCTCCATTATTTGTTGGGTATATAATACCAGCACGTGCAGTCTGTTCATTATTTGTGTACAATTCTGGCAAGATGAAGAAGGATCACAAGAGTCTGGATATTGTTCAGAGGTAGTGCAAGACTTGTTGTCACACAGGGTTCTTACACCTTTTCCAAAGTCAAATTCAAGCACTTTTCAAGCATTTTCAAGGTGCATTTTCAAGCTTTTCAAGCATCTTACAGCTGTTGTAAATGACATATTTATATACACGTACTTATACTCAAATGATTATTTCCCTACCTCACATTAAATCAGATGTTCTTTATGCTATAAACAACCAAATGTGTGT